ATCCCTGGCCCCAAAACTAAATTTCCTATGTGGCCTATTTTTGTTCTGCAAGGAGGTCCCCCTGCTGTTAGTACCTGTGTAAGCCTGAGAACCATTAGAGCGCTAACTGGAAATGGCACATTACTGATGCCTGAACAGTTTGCTGGGTTTCTTTATACTTCACATCACCCACTCAAACCAAGCACATGGGAACATGAACCAAGCTGCAGTATGAGAAACAAGCTGCTATTACTGTTTCTAAAACTGAGACATCATAGGCCCTGAAGACTACTCTGCAGATCTTTGGGAAGTACTGGTTCTAGTATGCAACTAACAGCAGTCTTCCATATGCATAGAGAAGAATTTTTGCGGGGACAGACAGCCCTAGCCTATGATTTGTAGCTCATGGTCTTTGCACTGAGCTATGTGCCTACTTTTTTGGGGGAACATGGTTTTGCTTAGTAATTCAGGCTGGCATTGAACTCGGAGATCCTCCTGCCTCAGCCCCCTAGTGCTGGGGTTACAAGCATGCATTACCACACCCAGCTCATCGTCTAACATGAAAATATGACTTCATTTGTTGCTGACAGAAGATTACTACGAGTTCAAGGACAGTCTGAAATACATAGCGAGACCCTGCCTCAATATGTATATGTATTTGTGGTAATACTTTGGGTTTTGTTTGTTTGTTTTTTTGAGACAGGGTCTCACTAGTTGAGACTGACCTCAAACTCACAGTGATCCTCCTACCTCAGCCTCCTGAGTGCTGGGATTATAGGCGTGTGCCTGTGGTTATTATGATTGAAGGAGCTTCATAAACTCAAGAACACGAATCCTATAACAGGATCCCCAGAGGCCCTCAGGATTGAGAAACATTAATGTAGAGAACACAAATGCAAACAGGTCAGAGGTAGAGCACAGAAAGGCTAGATTACAGCAAGGCACAAGTGGGTGGGATGAGCTGGCCCCAGAGGAGTGCTGGGCCCGCGGGCCTGCTCCTGGCTGCTCCCAGACCCTCCTGTTGCTGTCCCCTTGTCTTCAGCTTCCTTCCCAAATTTAAGAAACTTCAGACTGCCCTGCTTCATCTCATAGAGCTCAATTTCTCTGAACTTTCCAGCTGCCTGCTTATCGTTAGGGCTTTCTATTTTAGCTTTTTGATTTCTGTCTAAACAACCCAGGAGAGACGCCCAACCCCGTCCTCAGCCTCTGAAATGCCTTAGCTCTTCCCATTATTTCCAGAAGTTGAATGAAAACGCTTCAACTCCTTTAAAAATTAGTAGGCATGGAGTTTTTTTTTTTGGTTTTTTTTTGGTACTGGGGATCGAACTCGGGTCCTTGTGCTTGTGAGGCGGGTGGCGGAACCACTGAGCTAAATCCCCAGCCCAACATAGAGTCATTTTGCTTTTACTTAATGTTATATTGCCAGAGTAGCAACATTAAATAGGGGAAAATAGTGTCCAACACTGGCCTAGCAAGTAGGATGCTAGTCCCACTCTGAAAGTGTCACTTTTTGCAGTACTCTTCCTTCCCTTCACCTAAAAAACATAATTCGAAGGTCTAAACCTTCCATCATTTTTACTCGAGCTTCTGTTGTCAGTCTAACAAATCTCAGAATAGAGAGCACTTTGCTGAGCGTGCAGGTGCACACCTCTAATCCCAGCACTCAGGAAAACCAGCCCGGGCTGCCGAGTGAGACCCTGTCTCAAAAAAAACAAGCAGAAAAAATACAGAAGCCCCTGTGCGTGCTCAGGCACAAAGCAGGGCTCCTCACCACGCTTTAGGGAACTAAGAATGGCAGCGGCACCTGAGTGGTGCCGCACACCTGTCATCCCGGCACTCTAGGAGGCCGAGGAAGGGGCGGGGCCAGGTTTCAGCCCAGCCTGGGCATCTTAGTGACTTAGCAGGACTCCACGTTAAAATTTTATAAAAGGGAGAGCCAGGTGTGGTGGCACATGCCTGTAATCCCAGCACTCAGGAGGCTGAGGCAGGAGGATCGCTGTGAGATAGAGGCCAGCCTGGGATACATAGTGAGTTCCAGGTCAGTCTCAACTACATAGTGAGACCCTGTCTCAAAAAACAAACACTTAAAAGGTGGAGATGCAGCTCAGTGTGAAGGCCTTGGATTCAGTCCCTAGTGCTGGAAAAAAGGGACTGCACCTGCCCTGGGAAGGAAGCTTCTGGCTGGGGCCAGGACCAGGTCCCACCCAGCAGTGTCCTGAAGCCACAGTGACACACATGTTTGAAGCCCATACTTTATTGGGACCAAAGAGGAAACAGACCGCAGGCGCACCCACCAGGGGTGTCCCGCTAGCAGACATGAGTACACAGGGACAGGCGGGGTCAGGCGGCCGGCCCTGGGTGGGACTGGGGAGAGCTCCTTCTACACTTGGAAGAGCAGATTTCACCCTACAGATAGGCATTAAACAGCAGAAAGGGAGGTGGGAGAAATACCATTTCACAGGCGGCAGAAGTGCTTCTGGGGTGGGGTTTGTGGAGCTAGAGAACCAGGGAGGTGTAGCCCACGGGCACCAGCCCCTCGGCGCCGTCGCGCCTGCAGCGCAGCCAGTCCTCGCCCACGG